TATATTTATAAATTTCTTTAGTTGGACTAAAAACAAAGTCGGGTATATTTAGTTAACTAAAAACTTAGTCTGTTAATTTTAGTTAACTAAAAAGTTAGTCGGTTAATTTTAGTTAACTAAAAGATTAGTCGGGTAGTTATAGTTAGCTAAAAGATTAGTTGGGTAATTTTAGTTAACTAGAAAGTTAGTCTGGTAATTTTAGTTAACTAAAAAGTTAGTCGACTAATTTTAGTTAACTAAAAAGTTTGTCGACTAATTTTAGTTAACTAAAAAGTTTGTCGACTAATTTAAGGTAACTAAAAAGTTAAAAGAGTAATTTTAGTTAACTAAAATATTAGTCTACTAATTTTAGTTAACCAAAAAGTTAGTCTACTAATTTAAGTTAGAATATAGTTAGTCTGGTAATTTTATTTAATTAAAAAATCAGTCGACTACTTTTAGTTAACTAAAAAGTTAGTCGACTAATTTTAGTTACGGTTTTTTTTGTTTTGGTCACAACACTAGTTTTATGGCTTTTTTAATAAAAAATCATGCTGCTCCATTTATTTTTGAAGACACCTTATTTATAATATATTTATAAGTATAATTGTTTTGATTTATTTATAAAATAATACATTTTATGAATGAATTTTTAACATATTTTTAACACTTAAAACTATGCACATGTTAAGGTACATTATTATACTTCTACTATGTTCAGTGGTGTAACAATGGATTAGCATTGGTGCAGTTGCCAAGGGCAATCTCTAAGTTACACATTTTCATCTAAACATATATTTCACCATGATCCTAGACAACAACAAAAGTTTTGTTTTATTGCAAAAATAAAGATGCTGTATATTGTTTTCCTTGCCTTTTATTTGTATCTGGTGCATATAACAGAGTTTCACAGGAAGGGGTGATTTGAAGACCGCACATCATTATATGACCATGCAAATAATATTTTGCTTTATTTAATCATGACATTTAACATGTTTTTAAAATTTAAAAAAACTTACCTGACTTAACTCATTTACTTCATTAATTTCATTTTAAAAAAGAAATCTTAACTAAAGTGATTTAAAAAAAAAATTAAAAACATAACTTAACTAAAATAAAACTCAACAAACTAAAATGCTAAGTTTATTTAAATCATGTCAAACCTTGCTTTAAAGGAGTTAACTGAGGATAACTCCACAAGTTCTGAAAGTATTAAGTTCCATAGTTTTGCAGATCTGTCGTAAAAAAATTGTCTTAATTTTTTTTTTTTTAAATCTTTTGTTTTCTGTTTTATCTGTTTTGCTCATGATTTAATAAAGTTTGATCATATCCCCCCCCCTTTTTTTTTTCTTTGTTCAATTAGAGTTGTCAATCCTGGAACTTTTATAACTTAATTACCAAATTCATTTAATCAATTTGATGGCTCAATACTGCACTATTTTAATTACTTGCATACAATTACAGTCTCTTTTTAAGTATGGGGACCAAACTGGTACTGAAAACTCTATAAGGGGCATAAAATGATTTTAATATTTGACAATACAATATGGCAAAAGCTTTCTTCACACAACCCAACATTCTACTTGCATTACTTGTTGCGGAGATCACTTGGTCCTTCAGCTTAGAGTTTTTCAAAAACATCACTTCTAAATCTTTTATACTTTCTGATTCAGGTAATTTTGTACCATTAATATAGTGAGGGTTCTTTTTTTTGTTTACCCCTTAGTGCATTCCACAATTTTGGACATGAAATCTTAAAAGCCAGTCTTCTGTCCATTTGAATGCCTTTTGCTTTGTTCTTTACAGCATTAAAACCCATAACTTCTGCATTTCTCTATTTCTTACTCAGATAGTTAACTTTGTGACTTGTTTTCTTGACAACCCTAATCACTTACTTTCATTCCTTGATTTGTGCTTTGTCTATGATCCTAGCTTGTATTCAATTTCAACTTTTCTTCCTTTAGATGTTTCCACCATGCAATGACCTATACAAATCTTTCATCTTGTACTTCTTCTTCGGCCATCAAATTATTTAATATTACCTTGAGCTTTTCATGATTTTTTTTGTGATGGTCCTTGGGCTGATAACTTTTCTCTCTCTCTGCTAATAAGTTTTACAAAACCTATTAGATCCAAGCAGGAATGAAAGCTTTTATTACTTTGTCAATTCCAAATCAAGTCTCATCCTATTCCATGGTTTTCACCTTCCTATGCAGCTGCTATATCTAATCATAATCATTTTTTTCATCATTTTTAAAAGAATAACTCTCTTGAGAGCAAATTTATTATTGCAAGATATTCATGTAAAAAGTTGCTGACTAATGCTAAGCTCCATTGTTCCCAATATACTAAATTTCTTATTTTATATCAGAAGTTTTTGACTTTTGGAAAATCTTCAACAGCCTCATTATTAAAGTAGGTCTAAAACTCCATCACTCATTCATGAGACTGATCTTATAACCTCTCGCATTCATTCATCTTTTCATTCATTCAACTTCTCACAAGGATAAGACTAAACTATTTGTAAAGAACTTTTTTTTCTAATTTTGGCTCTTATACTCTATCTGTCATTTCAGTTAAACAGGTTAACCCATTGTTAGATATTCAAATCAGTTCAGCTTCTGTTGCTAAAGTCAACTTTCAATCAAACTCTCCTATGGCTTGTAGTCCAGACAATATTCCTGTCATAGTCTTACAAAAGTGTTTTCCAGAACTCTTTTTAATTTTCTCTAGACTATTAAATGCTTGAATAAATCTTGTTGTCTTGGCTGTTAGAAAATGGCATTAGAAAAAGCCAGAAGTTCTTTTTTATGAATGTGAAACTTTTTTATGAATGTGGAACTTTTTTATGAATGTGGAACTTTTTTATGAATGTGGAGCTTTTTTATGAATGTGTAAAACTTGTAAACTATAATAATTTTATTACTTTAAAAATGTTTTATTTAAAAAGATTTTTTAGCCGTGAAATTCGCATCGGCACAAAAAATCAATGGCAGAAATGATTCTGATTTTTAAACAATTCTTAAGAACATTCTGATCTTTCCAACTATCAGTCTTCTTTTTGATATTATACTCTATCTTATCAGTCTTCTTTTTGATATTAGCAAGGTCTTTGAGTCTTTGATCAACAAATTTCATACATCTCACCTTGGATCAAAAAACAGTAATTTTTTGACCTAAGTCTGTTAAGACAATTAATACAATTGTCTGTTAAGACAATCAATATAGTTTTTAATCTTCTTGCTCTACAGCTAACTTGCTGCTGACTGAATGATTTTTATCTTGCATACAATGGAGGCAGAGTGACTAAGTCTTTAGAGTGAGTAATGCTTTTGACATATCTAATGCTTTTGACATATCTGAAGCTTTGGCATGCTGGTCTTCTCCATAAGCTTGCTTTATATGATGTATCTGGGGAAGTTTTTAAGATTATTAAATCATTTTTTTCTCAAGTCATCCTCAAAGACACAAGCACTCTTATTCATTTCCAGCAATTTTTGAGATGAACAGAATATGAACAATATAAGACCATGAATAGAACCTCGGGGTTTTATTCATGGTCCTATATTGTATCTTATCTACATTAATGATCTTCCTGACAATCTTTAATCTAAAGTGGCTCTATTCGCTGGTGATTCAACTTTATACTCCTATCTTGAAAAAAGTCTTCTCTTTTTAATCGCTTAGAACAGGCAGCCAATCTCAATTCTGACCTCCCCTTTGAAACATCTTGGGGTTTGCAGTGGCTTGTAAACTTCAACTCCAACATAACCCATTTTTTTACTACAAACAACTGTTGCAATACTATCCATATATTACCTATATTGATAAATGGTAATCCTCTTACCAAGTCCTCTTCTTCATATCTTCTTGGAGATTAGTTCACTTCTGACCTCTTATGAAACCATATATACTATCAATTACTATATTAGCATCTATCAATTGCTAAGTTGTTGCTAAGGTTATTTCTCTTTATCGTACTTGTCATTTTTTTACTCCTGATTCCATTCTCTACCTCAACAAATGTTTTATTTGTCTCTGTATGGAATACTCTTGTCATATTTTAACTATGCTCTTTCTCTTCTAGACAAAGTCCAAAAATGCATTGTAATGGTAAATGGACCTTATGTCAATGTTTGGAAGTTCTTTCAGCGGACTTATGTCAGTTCACACTTATGTTTTTTCAGTTGCAATTTGTATGTATGCAGTGGTTTGCAAATTTTTTTGGTGCACTTTTTTTCTAGTTTGCACTTATGCCAATTTGCACTTATGAGAGCTTTTGTAACTGTTACCCACTTATTCCCGTTTGCACTTATACCAATATTTTCAAATTCGTACAGCGCACTTATGCCAGTTTATGCAAGTTCTTACTTATGCCAGTTTGTACTTTGCAGATTTGGCTTAGTGAATTAGCCTTTAATTAGTTGTCCTTTCAGAACATATCTATATAACTATTTTGTTTTTTTGTAAATGAAACGAAAACTAATTTTTCCTGCAATTTATATTTATAACAGTTGGTTTTTAGGCAATTAAATGGATGATTTTGTTTTTATTGGGTTTTCCTAAATTCTTTGAATTTGATTGGTTATACTTATAGTTGCATTATTAGCTTTAACAAGGTGCTAAGTATTTTACTGTTCGCATCTATTACTAAATTTTCAACTACAACAATCATGCTTTAATAACTTTTAAAATCATGTGTGTCAAGTATGTGCAAATCAGTTTTTGACAGCTATAAAAATTATTGTGAATATTCATGTATTCTTTATATTTCAGTTTTTTTTCTAAATTATTGTTTGTTTTCCTCAAAAACCTTGTTTTATTACATAAAAAAAAAAAAAATAAGACACAAATGTTTACCATTAAAATCCACCATTTGTAAGAAATACATACCATATGTATTTCAAAATTTTTGTTTAAATTAAGAAGTACAAAGTTTTTTAATTTAAACAACAAATTTTTGTTTTATTTAAGAAAAATGATTTAACAAAAATATTTTTGTTACAGTATGTTCTCTTAAGGTTGGTTGGCTTTATATGATGACACGGCTGATTGTAAACGTTTCACAAATCTACATTTCTTACTTTGTGCTTGATTCTCTGAAGTTACCAAAGGTTTCTTATTTAAAATATTTATTTAAATAAAAAGTCAGCAAATAATAATTAAAAAAAAGAAAATAGTAAAGTTAAAAGTTGAAGAGAGTTTAACTTACTTTGTTTTACTTTTCAGAGTTCAATTGCTATCGCACCAGCAATAATATATGTAAGTGGGATTCTAGCCTCAATACTAGCAAAATTATTTAATAGAAAACTGGGACTTAAGGTATTTATTTTATTCTTAAATCTTTATTTACTGCATATTAATATACATTATATTTATGTTTTTCAGTTTGTTTGTTTTTTACTAGTATTATTTTTGCTTTTGCTAAAAAATCTTTTTGTTAAAAATTTAGTTTGATTATTTTTTATTAGTTTTTTTTTTTTTTTTTTACAGTTAATTTGTTCACATTTGATGTAATATTTTGTATCAAGATGTAGTTTATTTTTTTAAATCTTTTTTTTGATTTCTGCAAATAGAAATAATATATTTTTTTAATAATGCAAATAGAAATGACTACGTTTTTAATTTTTTCTTGACGACTACAAATAGAAGTAGCTAGAGTTTATAGTTTTTCAAATAAAACATCACTATATAAACTTTTTATAAAGTCAAAGTTTTTATTAGTAACAATTAGATAACATTTTAAAGATCAAACAAAAATTATTTGAAACTATTAAATTACTCATCGGATAATTTATATTCACATGCTGCATCAAACCATTCAAATTTTTGTAAGTTTAAAAATATTAGTCCTCATATTTGTTTAAATTTTTTTTACTTTTTTACTTATGTAAAGCATTTCAGTCATGAAATACTAATTAACAAGCTTAGCAGTAATGGTGTTCATGATACTGAAATCTGCTGGTTTAAAGGTTGTCTACTTAACAGATATCAAGCCATTTGTTTTCAAAGAGCAATGTTTGAAATAGGAAAAGTTGTATGTGGTGTACCTTTGGTGTATCATTGGGCTCATTGGGCTCTTTACTATTTTTTATTTACTTTTTGACTTTGTATCTTATTTGAAACACTCAAAATCTTTTATTTATGCTGACGACATAATTAAGTACACTCCTGAGAAAGATGTATTTGTTAAAAATTGCTTCTTTTATTTGATATGAAAGTAATCTCAAAATAGTCTATAAAAAAATGACCTGATTCTCAACATTGCTGTGTGGTACAGGAAGATAGCTTTGAAAACAACCTAAAACAATGAAAGTTTTCTACAACTTTAACTCAATATGTTTCACCTTGAGCTATAAATACATAAAATTCAATATTTGTTAAATATACAATATTTATGTTTAATATACAATATTTATTTAATATACACATTTATTAGTCAACAATTATACTCATTTTAATCTAATGTAGAAATCTTTACCACAACGTACCAAAATCCAAAACTAATTAGCTATACTAATTGCATACACACGCATCTTGTATAATAAATGTAAACAGCTATCACCAAGTCAACACAAATTAACATAACTCTTGACACTGTTATATATATATATATATATATATATATATATATATATATATATATATATATATATATATATATATATATATATATATATATATATATATATATATATATATATATATATATATATATATATATATATATATATATATATATATATATATACACATTAGGGTGACACAAAATTATTAATTATCTTACTTTAAACTTTGATTTTTTTTTTACTATTTACATATCTGTACAAAATGTTAAAAATCAAAGAGATAAAAACAAAAGAAATTAGCTATAACGCTTGTAGGTCTGTTTACCTGCTTAGCTCGTCTTTAAGCTATCTACCTACAAACCAACTTCCATCGAATAGAAGTGTTCTTCGATATTACTTGTTCCTAACTTCAGCTAGAGAAAAGCGATTCAAACCTGTTAAAACAAACTTTTCTCGAGCACGAAAGGATGTTATATGCAATAGGAAAGACGAGTTTTGTAATTCAAATACTGAAAAATACTGTTTACTCCAACAAATTGTAAATGTTTAGAAGTCTGCTGGTTTCAGTAGTTACTTGATTTCTGAGAAAAGTATAGTGGAAAAGTTTAAATCTCTATACAGCATATACAAAACTTTATGCAACAGTAAATCAAAAAGCAAATTTCCGAACGCCACAAAAATGACTTTTACAGTATGGTAGAGCAATTGTTTGACATCAGTACGAAGGAATTTGAGATAAAGTTGAGACATGATGAATCAATGCCTCGTAATACTTCTGCTTTAAAAGAGGATTTGGCCTTCTTAGATGATCAAAGGTATTTTTTGCTCAATTTTTTTTTGCAAAGATTTAACCTATTTTTCAATTATGATATATCTACTAATTTTTCCCTAATATAAAAAATCATTTTTTGAGAAATTTTGTTTTTTTATTCAAATTTACCTTACGCTAAGTGTTTTAACAACTTTTTGCACAGAACTAACAGAAGTATAATCATATTTTCTAAAATTGACACAGAGATTCAAGAAAGGTTTCAGAGAAAGATTGATAGATGTAAGAGGAAAGAAGAATATAAAGATCGAGTGCAGAAGAGCAACAATTTGATAATTCGTGAATACAAAGAATAAATTGGTAAAAAAAGGCAATGGAATCATAACGTTTTTCCTAACAATGATATAGATTTTAATTTCGCAAGTGAGGAGCCTACAGAACCTAAAAAAACAAGAGCTGAATCACTATTAGGTAATATTAAAGTATAATTTGTTTAACACATAAAAATATTTGTTTTAACTTATGACTTATGATTAAATAAAAAAAGAGAGAATATAAACAATGTTTTCTAATAATACACGGACATTATAGGTAAAATTAGTATTTTTTTGAAGTAAATGTATAACTGAGGTAAAAATCTTTATATTAATTTAGATGCTGGAAGTTTAATTGTTGAGTCGGAAGTTTTTGTCCAATAATATTGTCAAATAAAAATGTTAACATTCACAAAGCAAATTCAAAAAGTAGGCATCAGTTTAAACCAGCATATTTCAGAGTAGAAAAGGAGATAACCAGTGAAGGTCTCATTGCAGCAACAACTTCCACCAGTATAAGGGCCAGTCTCAGCATTCGAGATCAAACCCTTTTTATCGCAAGCATAATAAACTATTTAGGAGATGTTAAACAGCTAAAGTTAAGCAGAGAATGTCAGAAGGCAACGTTACAGATTTTTAGAAGATGAGGGAAGCAAAATACGTAATGAATATGTTGATTTAATGGCTAACAAGATGTTAGTTTTACATTTTGATGGTAAAATTTTAAAGCATATTGAGGAGGACACTAGACAGGTAACTACTGCAGATAGACTATCAGTATCTGTTACTAGCTTAGATTTTGAAACCAAAGGTGATCTTTTACTTGGTGTTGTGCCAACTGATTGTGGTAAGGGAATCGATATGGCTATAAGTATTATGAATCTCCTAGAATATTTTGAAATTCGTGATTATACTGTAGGATTCTGTTTTGAAAGTAAGTATCACTGGATGGAAATCTGGTGCAATAACTATTATGGCAATAATTCTTGGTAAGCCATTTCTTTGGTTATTGTGTAGATACCATATTGCTGAGATAAATATTACTCGGGTTATTAAGGCAATTTTAAAGGAAATGTCTAAAGCCCCTGCAAATAAGTTGCTAAAAGATTTTCAGAAGAAATGGATAACAGAATTTTTTCCTAAAGTTTCAGCCAATGGTGGTGTAGAAAAGTTCAAACGATTTTCTGAGCAAGACCTTATTGTTGGCAGTGATCTCTGCAAACTCTATTTGAAGTCTAAAAAGTTTGTTACTAAAGCACTAGAACATGAAATCTTCCCCAGCTATGTAAAAATAATATAAAATGAATTAATTTTTTCATAAATATACTTTTTTTTAAAAGTTATTAAATAAAATTAGGAATATTTTAGGAATAATTACAGGCACCTTGTTGAATATTTGGCGTATTACATGAATGTTAAATCTGAGAAATTAAATAATTTTCACATCTATCAGCCTGGCCCCTGTCACAATGCAAGGTATATGGCTTATGCAATATACTTTCTAATGCTTGATATTACATCCACAGTCTTTGAATATCTGACTCCTGAAAAGAAATATGGTCTCAAGGGTAAGAGTCCTTAAGGACTCCTGAAAAGATATATGGTCTCAAGGGTAGCATTTATTGTTGCTATTTATTATGGACCTGCCTTTTTTAAATCAGGCAAAGCAGAGCATGCTGTTCTAAATGATTTTAATGCATTCAAAATTGCCAAAACAATTAAAACAGAATGGAATTATTAAGTTAGAAACTCACTTCAAAAAAGCATTAGTAACCACACCTGGTATTTGTCTTCTAAAGTTGTTGTACTATCGTTAGGGGATCCTTATATAAAAGCAGATGCTAAGTGTTTAATCATTAAGAAACTTTTAAAATTTCCAATTTCTGGGTTTTCAGAGATTTTTGTTACAGCTCCTTCTGCTGTTATTGTTACCAGTGATAGTCAATTAGAGGATTTAATTACGAAGAAGAGTTGGCTTTTTTTATACTTACAGGTCACATCGAATCTGTTCGAGAGTGGCATACTTCAAGTGATTTTTTAGCGCTAGATTCATACATTTTGCTCAGTTAGTTTGCAATCTTAGTGTGACCAATGATTGCGAAGAAAGAAATTTTAGTTTAATTGAAAACTTTGTTTACAGTTCCCACAATGAGGATTAGACACAGAACATTCTTTTGGTAGTCAGAGAGCACATATAAACGTATAACAAAAGATATGTCGCTTAAGGAACTGGTAAAGCTAAAACTTAGAGTTTTTTGATTTTTTGATTTTTGAAAAATTTCTTTTTTCAACCCTACTTTGTGTCACCCTAATATACATATATATATACTCTTGTATGGTAGTCAAAAAGTTGTTTCCATAAACTGTAGTTTTGAAAAGCCCCTTAATAAACGAGACCAGAAAAAGTTTAAAAACATAAATATTTTTTTTTTAAATGATAGACTGCTTGCCCAAACCAAACCCTCAGTCGATGTAGCAGCACTCCCTTGCGAGTCAGGCCATTTGTCAGTCGATGTAGCAGCACTTCGTTGCGAGTCAGGCTATAAGATAGTCAATGTAGCAACACTACCTTGTAGCAGCAAGCTGTAAGGTAGTCAATGTAGCAACACTCCCTGCATGTTTTAAAAATATATTTTAGCAAAACAACAACAAAAACACTTTTAATTAAAA